GAAGGCCTTGTTTTGGGAAAATCCCTCCATGCATGTATATGTAATATGTTCTTACTGACTCTTTCTGTGCTACAGTTTGGTGTTCTGTTTAATCCCATTTCGGGATGTTATTATTTGTTTTTTGTTATGCTTTCTATTTTTGTACTTTTATTGAAGTTTCTATGTTTTCTGCTGGACTCTATTATGTCGTTTAAATTTATACTTAATTATGGCCTGAGCCATATCGGATTTGATACTTTGGCGGATGAAACGAGCATCTGGACTGTAAGGGTGCAATTTCGGACCTAAATGGAAGCATTCTTTCAGAAATGGAAAAACATTGTATTATTTTTGATGGAAAACAATGTAATAGTGTGTAGGTAATTATCTGTATTTTTTGACTAATAATAGAACCGTTTCTTACGCATATAAATTGCTAGCCGCCAAAATAGAAGAAAACACGAAAAATCTGTTTATGTTCATGTCCGAAAGAAAACCTACTAATCAAGGGTCGTGTTCTCTAAAAGGACAAAACGAGGAAGACCTCACCAACCTGGAGATGGCTGAGATCTTCAACACCAATTTTGCTGATCAATTAAACCAGGTGCCTACAGTTCAGAGTATTACGCCAACCCATTGCCAGCTGAAGGCTTAGTGAACATCCGTATCACTCCTGACCTAGTACTAAGGAAACTAAAATCCTTACGCCCAAGTAAGTCACCAGGTTGTGACAAAGTCCGCCCTATAGTCTTGCAAGTGTGTGCTGAAGTCCTCTGTTCACCACTATGCGACCTGTTCAGGCATTCACTGGAGTCACACCAAGTCCCAGCTGAATAGAAACAAGCTACTCTCTCTTCAATCTTCAAAGGAGGAGATAGAAAGGACCCAGCCTGTTACAGACCAGTCGCACTCCTACCAATATTATCAAAGGTTATGGAAGGACTAGTGGACGAACAAATGAGGGAGTACATGGAAATACTCCATGAAGCTCAACACGGGTTTCGGAAAGGCAGGTCGTGTGCATCCAATCTCCTCATTGCATGGGACAGTTGGACATCCTGTTTGGACCGTAAAATACCGGTACACGTAACATTCCTCGACTTTACAAAGGCCTTTGACACAGTACCCCACTCAGGCCTAATCGAAATGGTTGTGGAAATGGGCTTCACTGACCCACTCCTATCTTGGCTCAGAAACTACTTTGATAATAGAAAGTTTCACACCCAGGTAGACAGAGTGCAAGCGAGTTGGTGAGTATCCACATCGAGAGTTTCACAGGCGACTATCCTAGGCCCACTTCTCTTCCTGATATTTATTGACGACCAGTTAGGCTCAGTTAGCTCACCAACATTGATCTACGCAGACGATGCGAAGATCTGGAGGTCCATTAGAAGCAAAGAGGATTCGACTGAGCTTCAAAAGGACCTTACATCTATTGAGAAATGGGCAGTGAAAAACGGTTTAAAACTCAACCAACCGAAGTGCCACGTCATGCATTTCCTGCCTCATATGGCGCAAACGACCTATACTCTCAATGAAAGTCCGCTCCCTAATGTCTCCTCAGAGCGCGACCTTGGTTTAATAACCACAGAAAGCCTTCACACCAGTCCAAACTATGTAGGGGACGCAGCCAAGGCGAATGCGACTCTTTGCTTTATGCGAACACAGCTTGGTGCTATCACCAAGAAATTATTTTTAACCTTGTTTAAGACGTACGCGCGCCCACACCTGAAGGTTCACAATGTCATCGCAACCTCTCTGCTTAAAGAGACATTAATCTCTTGGATCGAGTGCAGAGACGAGCAATCAAATGGGTGATAGGGTTGAAAAATAAACCCTACGACGATAGACTCCAGCTCTTGGGATCATTTCCACTGAGCTACAGGAGAATCAGAGGTGATCTGATTATGGCGTACACCATATTAAACACGCCAAACCATCCCAATGTGAGCATCTTACCGATGCATCACCACCACTCCCCTCGAGGCAATCCTCGAAAGATTGCACATCAAAAAGCAAATACTCAGATTCGTGCACACTTTTTCGCATTGCGAGTCGTCGCAACTTGGAATGCTCTGCCAGCCGAGGTAACCACAGCCCCCTCAGTGGACCGCTTTAAGAAGAGACTTGATAATCACGTACTCACATGCGGACTATCATCTCCCTCTTGGACAAGCTGTTCATGATACATACCTTGAGATCTGCTAGTTGTTATCATTGCCATCCCCTTAGATCACTTGCTTAATCTATGTCGCCCCTCATCTCTTTTCTCTCCCCCTTGCTTACACTTCGGTCCTCTGTCACAATCTTCACTACCAATTAACAAACTAAATTCATCTATATATTACTCAGTTCTGAAATTTTATTCATATTAGCATTAGAATTTTTTCCTTATGATCCTTATTACTCTCCACATTGCAACTAACTGATATCTGGTTTGGTAATATGACGGCTGTTGGTATCCAGAAATCTGATTGCCTTGAAACAAACGTTTTCATTCAAATCCCGAGGCATACAAACTCACAATCAACTGCCAACTGACTATAATTAGACAGTCGAGTGGCTAGACCTCTATCCATTGGACATTACCGAACACCTGAAACCGTACCGAAAGAACAAGAATCGAGCGCGAAGAAATCAAACTGGTTTACACTTGCTCGTGAAGAAGATTTTGGGTATTGGATTATCTAGGCAAGGCGCGTAACTAAACTTATAGAACTGTTTTTCGAATACAGAATCCACTTTGAACCTTACAGTGGCTTCTATATCAAGACTGCATATAACGATATTGTGATCGCTACCTGGAAGCTTTTCTCCAACATTTACAGTATTAGAAATGAGGTTGCTGGTGAGAACTAAATCCAATATAATGTGCTGGCCAGTCGGGCTATCAACATATTGAGTTCACTCTCCAACTTCTAATTATTCAGTAAATTATTAAGGCATTCAGGTGCTCTGATTGGGGACCAAGGGATTCCAGGCATGTTCAAATCCCAACTAATAGCCTTAACTATAAACGGTTGGGATCTAAAAAACCACTGTTTTCAGTATAGTCTTAGTGAACAATTCCTAACTATGGTTACATTTATTTGTGATGGCTTTAACTTGGGCAGGATCTGTCGTGTTCAATGCCAGATGTTATAACTTTTTGTACATTCGAGGGTAATTTTTACCAGCTGGCTTGGTAAGGTGGAATGTATGGAGTTTTATTTCTGAGGCCTTTTGCAATTAAACGTCAGGGCATTGAAGATAGGGCGCTAACAACAACTACCAGTTAAATGATTTTGGCCCTTAATAGACGTCTGTTACTCGTTCTTGGATTTTTCATTTTGGAAAGTCTCTATCAGTTACAGTAACCTTTTCCGTTTTCTTTAGCTGAATTTAGTGTTGATAATCTGAGTTTTTGAGTGGTTTATATGTTTTTTTGTTTATCCTTGTGCTCATTCACACAGAAAAATTGTACTTTGATGTACACTGAGGGCGAGCTGAGTTCAAGATGTGAGCTAGTTCCTGGTCGTTATACAAAGTGATTTTCTGATCATCAAATGTATATGGTTGCCGCTCATAATCTCCATGCAGGTATTTCCTAGACGTATTAGATCTGGAGTGTTCCCCCTTATATACCGTGACATCCAACATCATTCATGGTTTTCGTTTGCACGTTGTGAAGGAAAAAAACGCTTGCGTGGAAATGTACGTGTAGTTCCATCAAGCATTTCAACAATTTATAGTCCCGGGAAATGCATCGGGGTTTTACAGGGATCAGTAATTTCCTGTGGGGTTTAGGAGAGCTTTTCGTCCTCAAACCATCTCTTAACTCGATGATACAGAGCATTCCATCCTCTACCTAATGAAGAGTTAGGTATTCTGACAGAACAACCATTGATTTCTTTGTCAGCTAGGTTATGGACTCCAGGATTCTAAAACAGCTCTGAATGCAGCTGATTGTAAATAACTGCCGAAATTCCTGAATCGAAAATATTAACTTGGTCAGTGATATCCGTCACAGCTTTGATAACACTTGGAGATGAAAGACGATGTCATTCGAAGAATATGCCATTTCCTCAAGAATTATCACAAATTTTCAAAGGTGTGAAATAAGTCTGCTTTGATTCTCAAACGAACAAAATGTATTTAAAACCTAATTTCAAGAAAACTCGAAGACCGTACTATTATCATCTTTTACCAGTGAACTAAACATAACTAGTCACGAGGATTTCTTCTGTATTTTGTGATCCCATTAAAAGTGGTCGTTTATGAGGCATATTGTAGTGACACTGGTCCCTAGATGTACGGTACTTAAGGCTAGTATAAAATAAACGAAAAAACACTAAAATTATCTCCGAACTTTTGTCGAAGGTAAGATGAAAGTCGGGGGCATTACTCGAGATAGTAAAGATCGGCTGTGCAAGTGCGCTGACTTTAAATAACCCATTAATGCACAATCTGAGTGCTTCCTTCCAAAGTGACTTCATAAAGTTAATCGACAAGTTAAACAAAAACAGTGTATAAATTAGATCCTACAACATATACATCACAAGCTTTCCTAAACAACTATGACTGGGCTATGACTGCGCAATTGTTCAAGTTGCGAGATCTGAACGTCAAAACAGAAACTTAACTAGCACATTGTGAAGGTAAATGTCAACATTATGTTCCAAACTTCCCGATTTTAGATGCAGGTTTAGTGGAGTTTAGTGGATGGATTGTAGCAATAAAAACATAGTGTATATTGATTTCCATGCAGAGAATCAAACGCAGTTTTGGATTGTGCTTAGTGCTTAAAGTCGATCTGACATATTTTAAAATTTTCCAACTAAATACTACAAACGATTGCAGAAAGATGCATTATCAGTGACTACTTAAATGACATACATGAATCTCAATATTCTTTGGCTGTTAAAATCCTTGAGTTTATAATTATTTAAAGGTTTTGGCAATATTAAACACATGCGTTAATCTTATTTTTGAGTCTTTTGTACTACCGTTAAATAAGTGTTTAAGAGCTTCCGGTCTGTTCAGCCGGTTGAATCAAATGGCAGCTGACGGATGGCCTTGACTCCTGCGTTTTTCATTCGTACATAGTGGTTCCCAACTATGACGTCTAATAATATGTACAGAGTTGGGGGTATGTTGATTATTATTTTATCATCACATCCTATTATTTTCTGTGTGTCGGTTACTTTTTAACTGGCACACCTGTTATAAAAGTAAGGTCTCATTTAGTTTCGTTAATATAGATGGGTGGAAATTTTCGGATATGTAACTTTTTCCATTTAGAATGTTATGGCAGTTGTATTTTTGTACCAAATATTTCAGGCCGTCCATAAATAACTTCAAGGAAGACAGACTGTATATGTACAATAATTAATTTATATTCTGGGATAACTTTTAATCATGTTCTAAACTCACGTTTAAATTTTAATAAACTTAGCAGAGGTTTACTGTCAAATCTCTTAACTGGGGATTCGAAAGGTAAATTACTTGTACCACACTGGTATTTTGAATACTGGCGGTTTTCGACGCGTTCAACTGACACTAGATCTCACGTCCGAGACCCACCTTACGATTTTTATTTAGACAAGGGGCAAGTATACTTTTCCCTCAAAATCTGAGCCTTACTCATACTCAAGTACCTGGTGGATGAGATAATTGGAGTTTAAACATTCTAAAAATTTTGTGTTAGGTTACTCGCCGTAATCGTTTTTTGTTTGATTATTTATTTGAATACTACCTTACTACTATTGGATTTGAATTGACAGTTACCTCTCTGTGCTTATGTGGTATGGCAACACGAACTGATGTACTTACGTACGAAGTTCTACGTTGCATCTGACTGACTGACTTATTTGAATTCAAACGTCTATGCCTCAAAATCGGAGCAGGAGGTTTTCTCATGTGCCTGTGACATCCGTTCTCTAGGAATCCTCGGATTCATGTGCATCAGTGGTTTAGAATCTGGGTTCTCCTACCCCTACGTTAGTATATTTTAGGCTACAACCTGCTTTCAGCCAGGTTGTCATACCACAGCACGTTGAGAAAATTGTCAGGTCAAATCTCAGTAGTAGAGGTAGTAGCCTTAGGAAGATTGGTGATCCAAGGTACCATTCGACAAGTATATTCCAGAGAAATCAGTTCTTAAAACAAAGAAGATACAGATACGGCCATGAAGAATTGCAATTAGGATTTGGCAGAAGACGAAGAATGAATGCACCTGCGCCATTGCGATCGATTTTGAGCCATGGCACTCAAGGTCTAAAACTATCGGTTATTATCATCTCGCGGACCCCAGTCACGTAGTCTGCACCTACCAACATGACTCAGTCTATTTGTCAGTGACTTCATGGCTTTGCGCCATGCTTCGTTTAGGCCGCCCATAGCTTTCTTCCACCCTCCCCGTACACCAGACAAGAGTAAGTTAGATGCAACGTAGAACTTCGTACGTAAGTACATCAGTTCATGTTGCCATACCACATCAGCACAGAGATATAATTGCAACAGCGTTGCTCACTCGGGCGTCCCGGGATATACGAGCAATGCTTCGAAGACACCCATGATCGAAAACCAGCAACCTACGAATATCTTCTACTCTTACTGGCCATGTTTCACAGCCATAAAGTAAGACGGAGCGAACTACTGCACAGTACACTCGTTCTTTAGTCAGCAAACGGATATCTCGCCTACGCCATAAGTGACGCAGGTTGGCAAAAGCCAATCGAGACTTCTGTATCCGAGCTGAGATTTCGTCAGTTACCAGGCCATCGGCACTGATGAGACTCCCCAGATAAGTGAAGCGGTCAACACGCTTGACTATTTCACTCCCTGTCACTAGTTCAGGTGTCGATGAAACCCAGTCTTGAAGCAACATTTTGCATTTCGAGGGGGAAAACCGCATCCCGAACATGCTCGCATTGTTGCTTATGGTAGTCAGAAGACTCTGCATTTTGTCAGCGTCTTCACCAAGTAGGACAATGTCATCGGCATATTCTAAGTCAATAAGCGAGACACCAGGTAAAAGGTCTACTTCAGAAAATTCAAACGAGGATAAGGTTATTTCTAGGAGCATGTCTATGATAAAATTAAACAAGAATGGAAAGAGTGGACATCCCTGACGGACACCACTTGAAGTAAAGAATTACGGTGACAGTTCGCCATAAGCTCTCACTCGACCAGTAGTGTTCGAGTAGAGAGCTTGTATAAGGTTAATGTACTTCTTTGGTAGACCTTTCAATGACAGACACTGCCACAGAACCTCACGATCAACAGAGTCAAATGCCGCCTTAAGGTCCAGGAAAACAACTATTTTAGGATGCCTAAATGTGTGTCTGTGTTCGAGGACCTGTCGTAGTGTGAAAATGTGGTCTATACAACCACGTCCAGGTCGAAAACCAGCCTGGTTTTTTCGAGTCTGCTCTTCACGAGCTTTCGTTAAGCGTCGAAGTATTATTGAGGCCAATATTTTAGATACTATATTAGTTAGACTGATTCCTCTGTGATTGTCACAAGAAGACTTTTGTCCTTTCTTATAGATTGGGACAATCAGTGATTGAGACCAGTCGGATGGGATTACGTCCAGTTCCCAGATTCTACCTAAGGTCTCGGTCAACGTAGCTGCTAAAACTGGACCACCATCCTTAAATATCTCATGGGTCAGTCTGTCAGGACCTGCAGCTCGCCCTCGCCGCTGCCTTTTCAACCGCTTTTGCTTTCTCCACCCACCACTGTTCACGGTCGTTTCGCAGGCTTTTTATCAGCCTGCGCTCTTCAGAGTCAGGTGGGATGAGTTTTCGGGCATCCATCAGATCGGTGGATGCTACACAGATCCACGGCTTCATTCTAGTCTTATGGTTTACTTCACTAGTAGATATCACTGCTGTTTCCACAGCCATTTTGATATCAAACCAACCTGCTTCTGGATATCACTTCCCGGCTGCCCACACCGTGAAAGAGTATTTCCTGAGGAACCTGAAAAAGAAGTTGGATTCGTGTTGGTCTGGGAGCGTGACAGCAGAATCCAAAGTACAACCGCTTAAGCCCGGTCACGCACGGCCTATTTTTGAGTTTTTGAAGTGTTAGTTCTGCTCTTGTTTAATAGGCCTTACGGCCAGAGACGGGAATCCATGAGATAAGGTGAAGTTTAACAGTTTTAGGGTCGGTCTTTTCAAAACCCTTGTTAGAAGGCATTATCGCTGCAGATGCTGGTTGTCCTGGGGAAACACCCAACTGATATCACACTCATCTACATTGAGCAGTATGACTTCGCTCTCAGTCCTTGACTAGCTGCTTTTAGTCTGATCGTTCTCCAATCGACCTGCCTGGCATGGTAGGACCTACAGGAACATATGTTCCAGCAAATATAGCTCGGTTGGGTCATCACGATATGCAAGCACGACCATCACGTCCATTTCTCAGCATCTGTCGCGTTAAATATCGGTGGTTGGAGACCTTGATCCAGGTTTATTAATTTCCTGACTATGTATCACAAGTTTTTTAAAAAATTCACTTAGGTATAATCTTCTGTTCTGTGCACAACACCAAATTTTTGTCCTTACAATCATGTTTTTTCGTGTTGGGAGATATACAGAGAGGTTTACATTGTCAATTACGAATGAACTGTTAGGTAGAATCTTTTGGATTTTAGTTACTTTTTTGTAGTTAGTTTAGATCTCAATTTTACGATTCATGCGATATGATAATAGACCTTACTCCATGTCTACGGTTATCCGGTTAGTAGTCAATATTATATACAAATTAATAAACACAGGCTCTACACCATTACTCAGGTTGTATTATTTTGTACAATTTCCTCGTCTTTTCGTGTACAGTTTGTACTAAGTTTGTTCTGTTTTTAATGAGAAATTGACATTGAAACTGTAGACTACTGACATCTAGGTGGTAATTAAAGTTTATTTTCATTATCGCGATTGTTGACACTGATACAACTTCTGTTATTTAAAATATCCATTGACATTTGCTTCCTGAACTGTGAAGTACACCTTTCTTATCACAAAAGTTTGTGCCGAAAATGATTTCGGTGCGTATCTATTTCATTTCTCTACGCTCGTCAGTGTTTGTAATTAGCGTCCACTGTGTCCATTTTTGTTCACATTTGTTATGGATCTCTTAAATGTTCGTCTCACCTTTTGTATTGATAAATTTAGGTCATGACGTCATTTTAAATGTAAGCTTTTTTGTTCAAATCTTTTCCCACAAACTAACCACTGAGAAAGCAATATCGGTGTTAGAGTAAGGTTAAGCAATTAGTAAGACTGCAGATATACTGACGCAATGTTTGGTGCATGTCTTGCATTGTAGGAAAACAATCACATAATGTCGACCAGACTACTTTGAACATCTTGAACTGCAATAATTTCGTACTCATCCCTTTCAAAATTCATGTCTTGATTTTCTTATCCCAAAGTTTCTCAGTTTTTGATGTGATTATATACTAAACTATTCGGTCTAAAGCATTCTCTCTCTCTTCCTAAGCAGAACATATGCGACCTCATTGCTTCACAAAGCGTTTGTGAATGCATTTAGTTTCACGAATCAATACATAAACATGTCCTCTCCTCTCGAATACTATTTTGTTTTGATTTTTGTTGTTTTTTCACTTCGCTCCCACCGCAAACAATTTATTTTAGTTCTTACTGGACATATATTAAACCGTCATTTTTGTTTTCAGATTTTGTCTACTTCGAAGTTGCTGCTGCATCACCATATCATATCAGAAAAATCGAAGAATTAAATAAGGTTTGGTTTTGCATGTTTGAGTGATTAAGTTAGACTCCCACCGGCGCAGTAGAAGCCAAAGTTGTATGTTTTTATAGACGACGGGACTTATCACCGAACTTGATACAGCTGGCCGACAAACATCAGAGTAAGTTGTTGTTCAATTTAACACAATATCGCAGAAGAATTAGGAACTTGCGGGGAGGATACACAGCCGGATATACTACACCAGGTAATAGTCTTTTTGTTTTACTTATTCGAAAGATACGTCATCGTGAATTGTTCCTTTCCCGACATCTGGAAACTCTTCCGGCAACACATATTCGCGGAAAATGCACAGTTACTCTACATACCGAAACAGAACCTTATCATATCTACTTGCCAAAAGATGATACTTTTTTCTTCCAATTAGTGTATGATCCATTGCAAAAAACTCTTCAGGCTGATCAAGGATCCATTAGGGAAGGTCCTCAGTATCAAGCAGAAATTGAACCGTACAATCCTGTTCCAGAAAGTAAGTCCGTTGCGACATCTTGTTAACTAACAAACTCTTCCTTCTGTTTTACCTTGATCAAGGAAACTTCGTTTGAAGCTTCTAATCAATAAGTCTTAATAATATGATAGTGACAAACTTGACAAATAAAATAAGTTCACAGTACTGTAATTTAAAGGGAATAGATAGGTAGTAAATTTTCATAATCCCCACTTTTATGCTAACTTACTAACCTGTTCTTCTTGATTTACTATCCCATGTCCATGTTAATTGTAGATTCAACCGACGTATCTACACATGAACAGCTGCTCTGGAGACCAGATAATAATTTAACACCTTCAGATCTAGATTCATATCTCCTCTTAATTAGGTCGCTCGCTACTTTGGGCAGGTCTTTTTATCCACCACACGTCCTTCGTCAACCAAATCTTACAATGTCCGCTGCTGCAGCAGCCAGAGATACGACACACCAGTTTGCCTTAGATACTTTACATTCTGCTAATTATAATATATCTCAGGCACTTCAAATGTTAGCTCCTAATGGGCAACCTGTTTTGAAGATGGATGAAATGGAGCAATGGTCAGCAAGCGAAGGAAACCTATTTGAAGAAGCGTTAGAAAAATATGGGAAATGTTTTTATGAAATACAAAATGACTTCCTTCCTTGGAAATACCCAAAGGTAATTCAATTGATATTCATTGCCATCACCATTTTACTTCATTTTTCACTTCTGTTTCCTGAAATTCCAGACAAAGTTGATGTAGAGCTAAAAATTTTGTGGTGTAAGAGTAGGCTGGGAGAAAGCTAGGGCCGGCTAAACCAAAACATGGCAGGAACTAATGAAGTCTTGGACAAATGGACTGAGTCATGTTCGTAGATATAGACTACCTAGTTGGGGTCGGCGAGACGATAATAAGCGATGGTTAGAGACCTTAAACGACATGGCTCAAAATCGCTTGCAATGGCACAGGTGCATCTATTCTTTGGATTCTCTCAAATCCTAGTCTTCCTCATCACCTTTATCTTTTTCTTTTAAGTTTATTTCACTAGATTCTACTTCTTGAATAAAATCCTCGAACCCTAAAATTTCCGATTACTGCTAATTCTTTTACTATCTCTACTACTATGGGATTTGAACTGACAATTGCGTCTGTGTGCTAATATGATATGGCAACTTGAACTGATGTACTTACGTACGAAGTTGTACGTCGTAACTAACTAAGAATCCAAAACATCTAGGAATCTTTTTTGCAGTATTTCAAGTTTGACCAACATCACTAAAGCTGTTGTGCACGTACCTAGCTTATACCAATAGTTCATGTTTAACACTTCTAGGGTTTTGATCCATCCTGACACATACTACTTAGATTTATTTCGGTAGCATACCAATTAACATATACTAGTTTTTTTTAAAATTCCAAATAATTAAATTATTATCATACGTATTAGTTCACCATCTTGAGTAGGATCAACCTGTATAATGAAAACCAATGTCAGTTGAGTTACTGAAGTCTTAAATTCTATTTTTACCATTTAAATTGACTTTATATCATGTTAAAAATAACGCATCTATACCTTGGATTTCTGTCGAGTCAATGTGTATTTCAGACACTAAACTAACCTTATGACTCCATTTTTTGTCATCTAGTTTGTGGTTGTCTTACGAAATACATGTTCCCAAATATTTGGCTCTAGTTATATTTTCGTGTAACAGGTATTTAGTTTTCATCACGGACTTTTTGTGTTTTTAGAGTCTTGTGGAATTCTACTACATGTGGAAAACTACTGATCATTATGTTCAGCAAAAACGTATGAAAGCTATTGAAGCAGAACATCACCTGAAACAAGTATACATTCCAAATTACAACAAGCCAAATCCATCTGTTCTTTATCCTGTAACATCTGATTCTGCTAATTCAGCGTCCGGATGCGAAGGTTGTTCTAATCCTTCATCAACTCTCTGGTATGCTCTTGGTCCATCTCATTCTCCTCTCAAAGTTTGCGTTGATTGTTGGAATTACTGGAAAAGATATGGAGATTTAAAATCTACATCACTTTTGGGTGAGATTCAGTAGCTTGTTTTACTAGTTTCTAATTATTGCAGTACTTATATTCATTTGTTTTGTAAATTCATTATTGTTAGCACTAGCATAGGTGCGTATCAATCTACGTTACAACATTACAATTAACTGAAGGAAAATAAATAAATAATGGAAAAGCAAATTAAGAAAGATACTGATACTTTCAGTAGTGGTACACTAAATTTAAGATAGCAGTAATCGAAAATGCTTTTCATTTGATGGAAAATGGGAGTTGCTGAGTGTTACCGTATTTAAAACTTAAAGAAAATAAGGAATAAGTTTATTTGCGCTGTGCAATATCACTTAACTTATGGTCATGGGTTAGAGTTTTTGTTTCTAGATTTTCGTTTATTATCATGGTTAGAAACGATTTTGATTGATAGATGATGTATATTGATATAAAGTGCCTGAATGATAGTTTCTCACTTGATTGAAGCATCGACGTAAGCCTCTGAATCGTTCGTGATTGAAAACGATACCAGTAGTCAGGAAAATGGAGTTTTCTTCCTGACAAAATTACATGCTTGGTTAAAAAATATCCACACAGTAAACATAATATAATATAGGTGATTGGAGGGAATATGTATGTATTTCCCCTATTCTCTAACCAATTAAAGCCTGAATGTTAGGCCTAATTCTTGTCTTCTGCATCAGTTGTCCAGTCATAAAGTAAAAATGTTTACATTTTTTGGTACCGTAGTTCGTTGAAGAAACCTTGAGTTTTCACCTGCTGTAACCGATTTATAATGACTGAGTTTGGAGTACATTCAAGCAAACTAAGAATGTGAAGATGAAAACATGATATCAATCCGTAGGGCAATTAATTCTACTTGGATTGTATCAATACGTGTTTAATTCCTATTTGAAACCTTTAAGAGATTAATCATTGGCACTACTAGAAATTGATTACTGTTGGTCATATGTATTTCTTCTAAAATCCTTTTCTAAAGTTTAGCTCACTGTTATGTGCTTATTTTCGCTGTTCATTTTATATGATTCTGTACAGAAATTTTAAAATTTTAGTGGTATTTGCTTTGTTAATATTTATAGTAACTTAAATGTATGTCCTGTGATATATGATTCCTCATTGCTCAGTTCCTATTTGACGAAATAAGAACATATTCTTGGATATGTGACTTATTATAATGTCATCTGTTGTTGATAAGATGATTAGTATGGAAATAAATGTCTGCTGGTCTGGTGGTGTATACAGTTTGTAGATAATTTTGTTATGCATATGGCTTCTGTTTTTTAATGAAGTAGTTTTTGGTATTAAAGCAGCTATCGAATTATTTAAGTTCTGCTCCCTTGTTATATTTCGGTATCGCGTGGACACTGAGAGTATGGTTCAAAAACATGTACGCAAATTTGTATCTAGTTGGTTCGTTAACAAGCAAAATTCCAGAGACCTTTTCATAACTTGAGGGTTGTCAAAAATTCTTTATATCGGCACTTACATATTAATCACACACCAATCTTGTCGTTATTGATGACTAAAGTTTATTGTATTTATTTTTTTTAGATAAATTTTCTGAGCCAATATCTTCCAATCCTACGTCTACTTCCAGCTCAGATTCCAGTACCATAGGTGTTTCAAAAAGTAATGTTTTACTTCCTGAACTCCAAGCTCGTACGAACTCATCTACTGTTTTGACTGACCATCCTACAAAGTCGAACGACTTAGGAATTAATAATTCTAATGCATATATGCTAGCATCAAAAGTTCGCACCAGCGTCAGTTTTCATTTTGTTGCCAGCGTCACTCTTCGGATCGCCCGTCGGTTATGTGTGACCTCAAGTCCTCAGCGCCGAGCTCGTCAACCATTCAAACGCCTCACGTTTGCGACTGGTTTCCACAAAGATACTCTCCCATTGTTATCTAAACTTACTCCAGCCGAATCTCATAAGCTTACAAAGCGATTTCGAAATATAACTTCAGTGAGAAAATGCAAATCCCGTGGAGTCACTTTGCATTCTTTGATCTCACGCCTACATCAAACAAAATGCGTTTCATCTAATGGAGTAGAAAAAATTTTAGCTGCTGAACCTATGACTACAGAAAAGTAAGGAGAATGCATTTTGGGTCTTCTTTCATTCTGAGGATTTACACTCCAGTTGTGAATATTTTTTTACTTTAGTTTTTTGTTATTTTCTCTTTATATTTTTATTCTTGTGTATATCAGAGTTTTTTTCCGAATAGAGCATGGCTAGTTTTTGTTTCAGTAATCTTCCGGATTTCTTTTAGTTTTGTGGTGACATTATCAAATGTTTAATTCAGATGTGTCTACTAAGTTGTATGTTGTCTTTGTTCACATCACTTAGGGATTTTCGTAATATCAAACAGGGTTTAGCGTTGATTAAATCATTGTAGCTAAACCAAGTTGCAATTAAGTAATTTAACATGTAAAAAAGTGCCAATTTTTAAACTGCTTCCTTTTTGATCACTTTCGTTCTAAGTGTGTTCTATGGGAAGCTGTTCCGTCGTACTTATTTTATGTTTATTTAAAGAGCTTTATTGTTTACAAAATCATTAACAATTAAATTTCCGAAGTAGCAGCTGTCTGGTTTTGGCAGTTCAGTCTAAATCAGATTGTTACTTTCAAGTGCATTTAGTTTGGCCTAAGTAATTAACTACCAGAGTTATCTTCTAGACGTTTGATATCTTACACTAACAAATAAATTTGTATCCAGTTATTTGGTTAGTAAACCAAACTTTACAATAAATGTGTTCGATGGAGGTTTGAAGAATTTCACATCGTTTTGTAAATCCGATAATAAGATTTACTTTTAATATGTTAATAAAGTACTAGAGCGTGTTTAAAGTTGTCAGAAATCGAGCTGGCCTATGGTCTGCTATTTATACAGTCATTGGAAAATAGTCTTACAGATTTCAAAGTGGTAGGATTTACACTAGTGGTCGTGGAATCTGATGAGGACATATTATTATTAATCATACTCCTTAATTATGTTTTACGATAGCCTGTTATTGCAGCTGATTGGCTCATAAACTCAAAGAGTATTGGACTTGTCATGTTTTCCTTTGGACGGTGGGAGGGCAAGGGATAACAACATTCTCCTAGTTGTTCATTTGCGTATAATCTGGAAAGTCGTTGTAGGTTTTAATCCTTATGTCTCGTCGTGGTACTTCGTGTGATTCCAAAATATTGCGATGAATTCCTGTTACAGACGAATTGCTGTAAAATAAAATGTTAACCTCGGTCTACTGCTGACGTTACCGTTTTTAAATTTGGTATCGATGCAATATAAGTGAAACAGGTATTTATGTGGATAAAATTTGTTTACATTCCTTCGAATATTCAGCTCTTTTTGGATGAAAAGCACTAGTTTAGTAAGATGTATCATCGATCGACACTAGATACGTTGTTTGTTACCTAACCTCCTACTCCAGTGATTCACATCCTACAAATCTCAAAATATTGGAGGTATTAACTAGATGGCTGTAAGCTGATAAAGTGGCTAACTGTAGATCAGTTTCTTAGTTTCTAAACTTTCATTCGCAATACTAAAATTTAAACTTGATATGATGTCAGTAATCGGTTAGAGTTACTATGCGCCGCAAATATATACAATGCCATTTTAGTTATATCTTCCAATAGTTATCATAAACTGAAACATCTTAATGTTCAGAAGTAAACCTTTGCTGTTTAGAAAGCATGAAAAGACCGTTTTTACCTAATAAGATTTGTGAATAAGAAGTGTTTTTTAATTAAAATTCAGAAGCTAAACTACAGTGTAAATTCAAACTCTCGTTTTCAATGAAGCTGTCCATTAACTGAGATTACTACGCTTATCAAGAACTTTATAAAACAAGGAAAAGATTGTCATCATAATTAGTTATTATTTGATGATGTGACGTCAATAAGTTAATGAAACTGCTTTGGTGAGGTGGTACTCAAGCTAAATGTGTCAACATTTCGAAATCCAAACTTTAGCCTCCAATTTTCATTCCAAAACAGTCACTGGTTACTTTCATGAAAAGCCTTAAATTTTAACTAATTTTGATCAAACTAGGTGAACTACGATATTTGAAAATGAGTAGTAGTGAGGTTTCATATGTTGCTGATTTATTATGCTTACTTTTCCACAGTACGATCCTCTTTAATTAGTAACTTTAGTAACAGTCGAACATATATGTTGAATAATTAAGGCTAACTGGAACTGCGCACTTTACTGATATTTCACGAAGGGTCATTTACTAATTACTAACATAAAATTTCCTCATTCAATTAATGAAAATAATGTACAGCTATCTCTAAAGCCTACGCAATCTTCTTAGTTTTCCCTCGTTGCAAATTGTGAATCTAGATTCCTCTAGAGTTGATAAGTAGTTCCCCTCACAATCATCCAGTTAGATGGGTCTGTATGTCGCTGTGTAAATAAGGGCTTCGAATTAGTGATATTATACTCCTTGCTGTCCTACCTCTGTTGGTAGTTATGAACAGAAACATCATAGATGGTGGAGAAAACTTGTAGCTCAGGTGGATGATTGTGGTGGTGTTTCGTTCTCTGAGCTCAGAGAACGAAACACCACCAGAAACATCATAGATTTTGAATCAACCACTCGTATATAAAGATAACTGTCGGATGTAGTAAGGTTGTATTTACGCTTTCCCTCACTACATGCGTCTACTTTAATAGTGGGAAAAAACGTGGCCACATCTAGGTAAATGTTTGATGACAATTATTGGGACAAGACTAATAGAACTGAATTTGTGTTTTGGTTAAGGTAAGTAGAATTTCTTATTTTACTCCTGACAAAATGCGGGAAACTAACAAGAACTATGGGTGGTTAAAACTTACGAAGACTAGGTCCTGATTCAAAACTGAAGGGGTTATGAGATTGTTGTTTTAATCTTTTAAAGGATTACTGAATTATAGTTTACACTTCATATTACTCTCTCCAGCCTTCGATATTTATCTTATTAATCGAAATTTCATTCTATGGCCAAATAGTCTTGGCGTTTGTAGGAGTCTAATTAAATTGCAGTCAGTTGTTATTAGCTAAGGCCTACCTGATGGAGCGTTTCCTTTCTATTTTCAGTTATTACGCTTTTGATATGTTTCAGTAGTTGATTGATGACGCAGCTCAATATATATTTCCAACCTCAATACCACTGCTATTAAAAGTTCGTAAAGTTATATGTCTCAAAGGCTTTATTCTTAAATTAAAGCAGTGAACCGTAAACAGATATTTAATATAATTTTTAAAAAGTACTATGACGTAGTTTGATTGGTGACAGTTAATCTTTGAACTAATGTTGAATTTAGTAGAAAACACAAATCACTCTAAATCTGAAGGTGGACAATTTATATATGGTAAGAGAAGATTCAAAAAGCTCATGGAACTTGTTTACTTATCAGTGTCAACTTTTATTAGGGAATGTCAGTTAACGAGATGTGGGTTGGGAGACGATTAGTTTACCTAATGTTTTATTGTCTGGTTCTTGTATAATAACTTCAGTTCGTTACTATTTATGGCAGTTACTATTAGTATCGTCAATTTCAAAATATAACATGTCAACAAACACTAAAATATTTTTGCAACTAGCTGATCAATTGGGATTATAACTGAAGTATAATATGTTGCCTGTTCATCTATCCTTCATTTGATAAGGATGCATATGGTATATTTTTTCTTCTCTTTCACTTCTCATTCTCTTCTGGTTTATTGAATGTTTATTTTTGTTTGTGAAATTAAGCCCGATATATATTCCATCAGAAACTGCTCTCGACTTAGCTGTGAATGGCTCGGCGACTATATGTGATTCCGGAAGTCTCAAAGGTCCTGCCTCTATGCCTAACAGTGATGAGCATTCAGGTGATTTTATTCGTTTAATCCGTTTCTCGAAAATTCATTTTTATTCTTTCGGAATATATATATATATATATATATATATATATATATATATATATATATATATATATATATATATATATATAACGTAAACTATTATTTGTTAGCACATATCACAGCTTTTGTGTTTTTATACTTGCCATTATTACCTTATATGAAATCAGTTTCCTTTGGATAGTTTCACGTGGAATTTTTTTTTTTTCATTTAAGTAATATTTCACTAACTAGTTACATTAAAACCAGCAGAAAACTTGCATTGACTCGAAGTTTTATTCATTCAGTATGCTGAAAATAGGGTTTCTGAGTTCTGTGTTATGCGCTCCATGTGTATATGTCATCTCATAATGTTTTAGTTGTTCGTATAAAGATATGGATGTATTGTCAGCATGTATCGACTTTCTGGTTATATAATTTACTCTGAGATTCTTTTAAGTTGACATTATTCATTTATGACTAATGAGTTGTTACTACGTTATACAATCAGCCAAAAAACTATTTGGATCTTAATGCAGTTTTTATCCTTTCTATATTGATAGCTTTTCCGGTAAAAAATCTAAATTGTTTCAGTATATACGAGGATGAACTTTTTCTAAAGCTTTACTTGTATAATTTAAGGAGAATCAGGTTAAATGCTTTTGTTTGATGTCTATAATGAACTGACTGCTTTAGGTTCTCATTCTACCTTTTTAAATACAAAAATCACCGATCACTTTCCTACTAGAACTAGTAATCACTTCATCTACTAAGTTTTGAACAACAAAACAATGTTGTTGGTACTGGCCGGTAATTTTCAATGTAGTTCATTCAGTTGGTAGTAATTTTTATCAGACGGTATATTGTAATTGTATAATTATGTAATAAGGGAACATGAGCTTTCGATGTTTTGCTAATTTAACAGTTTACAGTGAGGAATTTTTTTCGACGAAGTCACATGATTCTACGTTTCAAACACTTTTACAGAGAAACGAAAATCAATGTAAGACCTTTAACATCGGATTTATGTCTGCGCAATTCAGAATATTAACCTGCGAAAATAATGATGTCAGTAACTAGAGGAGAAGTAAACTAAGATAAGAAGTGAAAACGATACAAATGATGTGTAATAATTTGAACAAAACGAGAACGACATTGTTGTCAGATTACGATGTAATTATTCAATATTTGAGGAGCAGTAGTTTATAAAAGTCTGACCACATCCATATGTGTTGTGCTAAAACAATTTCCAACCATTAAGTCTTGGGTTTCGAGCCAAACTGTACTCATTTCACCCCAGTCAGTCGAGCATTATTTTTAGCATTCAAACCATTGATGTAGCTCCAAACTTGATATACAATCCTGGATGTAAACAAAACAAATTTAAGCATAAAAAACATCTGATTATATTTTCAACTTTTAGCTTGTCAATGTTTATTGTAGCTCATTTGTTTAGGATTTTTCTAATCGTTCTGATATATTAGATATATTTGCATTTATAACCTATAGATATTGACTGTATTCCTACTAAGAGGTCTAACACTACGATTCCTGATGATGAATCGAACATTGAAGTCATATCAACCAATCATGGCTGTATAAATTTGGGTCCAAAACGTCGTTTTACTGTTGGTTCTGGTGTAGATGGAGCGTCAACTCTAATGTACCGAGCCACTCAACTAATAAAGTGAGTATGCATTTTCAAATGAAAGTTTTTAAACCTAATTGCTTCTCCCTCTTGTTCAGGTAACTTCCAAGTATCGGTAGCAGTGTGTTTGATAGACAGAAATGCCAGCCACCCTTCTAAACACTTGAGTGATAGTAGAAATTTTTGTTAACAATATTAAGGTACCAAACTATGTGTTCAAATCGTTATATCTCGTAAGCTAAGCGGGACGTACACTTGTGCCACGCTTCATGTTAGTTTTAAATAACCTGCGGACTGAATTTCTTTGTTTTGTTTGTAAGTTGTCTTAGCAGATTTGTCTTTCAGTGTTTCTAATAGCATCAAGTCACTGATTTTAAGTACACACATCTCGTTGCTAGGATATTTATTTTATTTCTCATAATTTAATTTTTATTGTGCTTGTTGAGAAAGTTAGGTAAATAATACAGTGGCTTCAGGTAATAACTTAAACATATTTCCGATGACTCAAGTGACACTTATAAGTATGTCTTGTTAAGACTTTGTTTTGCACAACGAAACGTTTCATTAACTAAGATAGTACATTGCCTGTCTATGTTGATCATTTCAATAATGGGTTTGCGAGTGACTTGTATCCGATCTAAGCATAGCGTTCAAAGTAACTTTGAGTGATCTATTTAGTGACGTGTTTGATCACTGATTCATAGAAGATTGAAGCATCTCAGAATATTCAAACTAAGAAAAATCGCAGTGCGGGAATGCATCATTCCTGAAGGTTAAAATTAATATAAGTTCAGGAAACGATAGGCTAAGGAGAGCGGAATCAGTCAGTAAGCTACAACTTCTAGAACTTCGTATGTACTTATATCAAGTTCAAGTGCCGTACAACGTAAGCACTCAGAGATCGAATTGTCAGTTCATACCCTATAGTAATAGAGGTAGTAAAAGTGTTACCAGTTATCAAAAAGATTGGTGATCCACGATATCATTCCTAAAGTATATTCTTGAAGAATCAATTCTTGAAACAAAGAAGAGAGAGAAAAAAAGGTCCTGAGGAATTATGAGTAATAGAATTTGAAAGAGCACAAAAAGTGAATGCACCTGCGCTATCGCAAATGATTTTGAGCCATGTCATTCAAGGTCTCTAACCATCGGTTACCATCATCTTGCCAACCCCAATTAGGTAGTCTACACCTACCAACATGGGTCAGTCCACTTGTCAGTGACTTTATGAATTTGTGCCATGTTTTGGTTTAGCCGCACCTAACTTTCTTCCAACCTACCGCTACACCAGACAACACCGCTTGTCGAGACAGTCAATGATTACACATACGTAATACATAACCCAACCACCTCAACTGATGAAGATTCACTACTTTATCAATTGACTTGTCATCCTTACTTCGCACCGTTTTCCTAACCCAAACATTGCTTACTTGAAGGTCCTAAGATAGAGGAGCAACGGTTCTAAGACACCTGTGATCGAATACTAGCAACTTATGAGTATCCTCTATTCCTAGTGGCTGTGCCTCACATCCTTCGACTAGGACGGAGCGAACTGTGGAGCACCAGGCTCGTCTTTCGGTTTGCAGACGGATATCTTGCTTACCGCATAAGTGACGTAAGTTGACTAAAGCCAGGCTTCTTTATCTGTGCTGAGATTTTGTCAGACTTCAGGCCATTAGCACTGATGGACTCCCCAGATAAGTTGTAGCACCTCACATATATCTTGAACTTTTATCATTGTTGAGCTTGTATGGGCATGTACGCTTGGGCATTACTTGCCATCTACACATATACTTATTTGACTAGCTGTATCGATTAACAGTTTGAATAATTCGATATCAATATATGTGCAGGGGGCAAGTAGTCGATATTGACATCGAATTATTCAAACTGTTAATCGATACAGCTAGTCGAATACGTATATGTGTAGGTGGCAAGTAATGCCCAAGCGTACATGCCCATACAAGCTCAACAATGATAAAAGTACAGATTATATGTGAGGTGCTACAAAGTGAAGTGGTCAACGCGCTCAACTATTTCACTCTCTATCACTACTTGAAGCGCCGGCGTAACCTTATCCAGCAGCGACATTTTGCATTTGGAGGAGGAGAATCGCATTCCGAACATGTTTGCATTGTTGCTTATAATGGTCATAAGACTGCATTTTTTCTGCGTCTTCACTAAATAGAACTGTAACCGGCATATTCTAAGTCAACAAGCGAGTCTTTCGGTAGAAAGTCAACCCCTGAGAAGTCGGACCATAAGAGTGTCGTATCTATAAGCATATCATTTAACGGACTGCCACAAAACCTCACGATCGACAGAGTCGAATGCCGCCTGAAGATCAACAGATAGAATTATTGTGGGACATCTGAACGCGTTCTAGCACTTGAAGCAGTGTAAATATATGGTGGATTTTGAGGGTCGCAATGTCGGTAGGCGTTGTTCCGTATGCCTAAAGTTAGTATTTGCTGGAAGAAGATGGTTATGTGAGCACTGCCACAGCACACAGTCAGTATTTTCTGTCTCTCAGTCTCGATACTGTAAGATCCACCCAGGCGTCTTTCAGTTTCTCTTAGTCTACCTACTCGAGCACTAAAGTCACCAACAACTATTACTACATCAGAGAGCCTAACTTCTTGGAAGAGGTCCGATAGATTTCTGTTAAATTCATCTTTTACCTCATTGGAGCTGCAGTCAGTGGGAGCGTAGTTAGATACGACGAAGAGGCGATGGCGAGTTTCCCGAGGTCACAGGAACCAGCAGAAGGATTTGTAGAAACGCGAATTGAAACAATTCTTTCCATTGACATGGTGAGATCAAATTAATCACTGTACTCGAATCGTGTATGCGCGTTTCCGAGACGTAGCATACATCGATTGCACGAGATTCTAAAGTCCTAGCTAAGGAAGCCTGCTGTCCAACACAGCACAAAGTCGGGACACTAAAAGCTTCAACATGTAGTTTGTAGTGTTGATTCAGGAGACCAGAAATAACGTTTCCTGTACTTGAATCTTTTGTATCAGTGGCGTCGAGGTATAAAATAATGTGAGAAAGTTTTTTCCTAGAGGCAAAGTAGTTATTAAGAGGAGTAGGAAGTATTTGATTGTGACTAATTTGGTCTCGTACACTGTTACGCGTATGAGGGCGGATATCACTTCTGTTACGCATGCACGGAAACACGTCATCGGGTAGAGAAGAAGGCTTGGTATGAAGTAGAACTTGTATTCTACAAACATCCGGAAAGCACGATGTCCGATTCCAGAAGAGAAGAAGGATCCAGGACTCCGGGTCCGGGTCATAAAACGGTACCGATAATGCGTATATATACAGTTAGGTCGAATAGAAAGCAACATTGAAGTATGTGACATTGATAGTCGCGACTTCTAATTTCACTGTTCTCCGATGGGCGTGATTGACATGTTAGGACCTAAAGGAAGATATGGTCCAGTTAATAACGGTCAGTTGGTTCATCAGGTCTGATCACGTCCATTTAGCTGCTGCGGTCTGGTAAGGATAGGTCAGTAAACAGCAGCTGAACTGCGCTGGGTTTGTGGTTTCAGTTAGTTGGTATAGATTTCTTCAAAGTCACTTTATTCTATATAAAATGAACCTATCTGCTAAATATAACGAATGTGGATTTTTCATTTAATTTCGGAAGTGACAAAAATGAAATTTTAACTTCGAGAATACGGTACGTATAAAGAGATACTAGAATTGAAGATTGATAGGCAGCTGAAGATTTAGCTAACTTAACCGCTAAAACTCGACCACAATCCTTACGAGTATTGTGGGTTTAGACATTATGGTCCACTTCTGTCTTTCGTTTGTGATTACCTATGGCCGACACGGATACACGAGCCCTGAAGCAGTATACTATATATATATATATATATATATATATATATATTGTGAAACGAAACTTAGTAAGTTTTATTCCCTCCTACTTTCTCCCTTTACTGTCTATTCATTCCGTTTCAACTTTTAATTTTTAGTTCTCTCGCTATCTTGTCATTTTACTTTACTGCGAATTTTTTTGCTAATTTTTTTTTTAAACAGACGTTCTCGGCGTAAATTTTTGTCGTTAGCTGAGCTTCGTCGTTTTGGTCGTCATCCTTGGTTTGATTTGAATGTGGATTTAAATGCTCAAAATGGCTCACATTCTATATTTTCTTCCAATTTAAAGAAAAAATCTCATACAGTCACAACCAATTCGACTGCAGAAAATGACATTTCAAATCCTAGTATTGTTACTTCATCGTCAAAAGCACATTGAATTCAGAATATATATTTATATTGTCTCATACTTCATTTTTCCATAACAGGAAATTTTCCAAAATTTTTGTGTTTTGATTGTTACTTTTTCATCAAGTTACCAACATGTGTTAGACGTTACTGTCAGTATTGTAAAAGTTATTCAAATCCTACTTCAGTATCGTTCATTAAAATTTACCAGCAATTTAGTTAAGTGATTTCATCATCTTTATCACTGCATTGTTTTCGGTGTATAGAGAAATGTTGTTATGTTACTTTTTATGCCTTCCTTGTTATTATAATAAGTTTATAAAAAGTGTATTTTTCATCTTGTTTTTTTTTCTGTGTTTTCTTTATTTGCTCATTAGGTTCTTTGAATAAACTTGTAATGTTTGATTTTTCCACTTAATAATTAGGAGGATGCATTTAACCAAAATCAAAGTTACAGGAAAAAAAATATCACATTCAAGGTGTTTCTTTTCTGTGAATTTTTCTTTCTCTGTTTTGTAATTATTCTATAAATTAATCTTTGTTAGGTGACTCAATTGTTGTTTTCTTGCGTACGAAATGCAAAAATTCGGATCGCTATATGAAATTTGAATTGATGATGTTCGTATTATTATGGATTAGCTTCAATTGGTTACGATTTGTCATTGTAGAGCATTAAATCAGATTGCCTTTCACATTGTTATAAATTATTGTTCAACTTTCTCCATATTCAGCTATTGATAGTAACATTTGTCAGATGGCCGGAGTTTGATAGAATCATCCTGTGTCATAGATTTATTATCATGTTACATTTTAAGTGAATTTTTCAATGCGCCTTAACATTAGGTGGTCCATGTTTTCGATCGGCATTACGAGTATTACACCTAGCAGGTAGTCTTTGAGGTGCAACTGTAAATTCCATTTCCCCTCTTATAAATGCTGTTGGTTCAAACAAATAAAACTCAAATTTTGAGGACAAGAAATAGATAGTTGCTGTTAGACATGTATGAGAAGGTAGTATAGTGTACAAAAAATCGGGATTTCTATTTTTTGGCTGTATCTGGCATAAAATATTCCATTTCCTTATAACTAGTTTTCTAAAGCTTATACTAACTTACACAATATGTAGTCTCGATTCACAATTTTTATTTATTTGCAGCTTGTCGTATTAGGCTTTAGTAACGTTTCATCTGTAGACTTTTTGATTTATTACTAACTTCATCAATTGTGGTTTGAAAATAAATGTCACTGTTGGGGAAATTGCAATTTGAGTGCCGACATATGGAACGTTTATGGTAATTATAGATGTATATAATATTAACTTACACACAAACATTGTTATAAAGAACTCCAAAATATGTTGCTTTCATACCGCAACGTCATACACTGATCACCGCTTTTTATAATTATTTGGAGCGTTGGCAAATGATGCACAATGTGAGATTCTCTAGGAGTGCATGTTCTAGTTACCAAAGTCGGTGTTAAAGATCGTGACGTCATTTGAATTATCGTAAATATGCTCGAACATATGTCGCCATTGTCTGCATTACTAACATGTTGTTGCCAGAGAATGTCAGCAATCCCACAGAAGAGACTGATCGAACACAGGAAGCTTCCTAATATCCCCAACTTGGTTGCCAGGTTTCATAAGCATAGACGTCACAGTTCTCACTGACGCATTGTCGACCTGACCGTCGGACTAACATCACGAAGACGCCAATGATGGACTAGATTAGCATGATCCGCTGTAGGTGAATTGATCTCATCAACACCTATCCACTCACACTGACGTTTTGACTGCTTTCATATGCTTACTACCAAGAGTTCTCTGACCTGAGATCTGACTCCGATTTGAACGAACGATTGAAAAGCCTATTTTGGTTTTGTGGATGTATTTCTTTCATTCGCGTGAGTAAAAAGGATGCGAAACAAAATGAAGCGGAGAAGGCGAGTGGGTCAACTCAATGTGAAAATGTATAACTAAGTATTTGTAGTCAAACAAAATAAGCTAGACGTGTAACAAGCACAGTAGGCACTGTAAGCACAATTAAAAGCAAGCAAGGTTCACAAGGTTGGAAGACGTGAATAACTCGAGAACGGTGGGTTTGTTAAATTTTCCAAAACCTGGGACAACTCATATAGAATCGAAATAGTGGTACACACTACAAGTGAGTGCAGGCACAGGGTCTCGTCAAATTTCTTTGCACTTGACGAAAATCATTTCCTACTTTTGGACATCGATTTCCAAATGGGATTCAGTAAGAATTGCATGTCTCGATAATCTTTGAACAGTGAAACAATATCAGCATACTCAAGGTTGTAAAGTCCTCTCTCCGTCAAGAGGTCTACACCAGCGATACCTACAACTCTGTTTGACTCCAATGCTTAAATGAGATCATGGAGAGAGGTGACTGTACATCTATAACTCCTAGCTTTGTTACCTGGAGAGTAATCGGTTCCTGGCGCATGACTAATTTCGTAACCATGTCTATCGTGTACAATATTTTTTTTATTTGACATCATCGCGACAGATGAATACTAGTGGATTGTACCTGACATTGAGACTCCAAACCCGTCGACGCTTAGTGAAAACCAAAGACTGATGATAAAGATTTATCTAACTTCCAAAATAAATCAAAATAATATCTACATAGGCAAACTCTTCATTTGACTTCTGTGGTCAGAATAACAATCAGATTTGTATAATCTCACCTAGTAGTATTTAACAACAGTTAATTAATAATTCCATAAATGAACACGTAATAATCGATTTCTAAACTTCAATTTGTTGTCATCTTGTATTAACAATATTGATTAAAAATGTGTATGCAAACTGTTTCACCGGAGAATAATCAACTGTCTTTTCTAGTTCTTGGATCTAAAAGAGGTAAGATTTATCTTTTGTTACGGTACTTAGAATGTTTATTATTTGTTATTTTTTGTTTCATCTTTTTTCTCATTATCTGAATGGTATTTTTTTGGCCGGTTACTCGTCATCCAAATGTTAGATTATTACACATGTTTGAAATTATAAACGGTAACAATATTCACTGATGCGTCTGAGATCTATCTGGGTCGGATAATTGTGTCGGTTACTCGGAAATATTTTTATAAAGTTTATGTCATTCTACAGTAATTCGTAATTAGTTAAAAAAAACCAAGCTAACATTCAAAGTGATATGATAACAAACATATTCACTCACAAAGCAGTTAAATATAACAATAACTAGTGAGAAAAGGTTTTCATAGCGAATTGCCTCCTAACAAATTAGAGAATAGCCACCTTATCACTAATTATTTACAGTAAAGTGATGCAGTGAAGAAAGGATGAACACATTAGTAATAATGAGTAAGAAAAGAATCTCATATTATATTTTATAACCTTCTACCGTATGTATCAGTTAATTTGTAGTCGTGGTAAATGAATCTAGATTGTTCATTTATTGCTTAGACTATCAAATATGATTTCCAGTTTCATGTCTTCAATATAATCGACACATGATTTCTTTGAACGTGTCTGCAAATGACGTCTTATGTTCATACCGACATCAACAATGGTAGAATGTAATCATTTGAGCTGGTTCTATTATGTCTCTTGAATGAACTATTTGAAATAATCCGATAGTTATTTATCGGATTTTTAAAATCTTCTTGCGTCTTTTCATTTCTTTGGCCAATATCCCTTGAATTGATACTAGTTTAGTGTTGCAATGTAGATAAATTTGAAGTGAGAAATTTATGTTTAAGTGCCTCATCTGAAACATTGTTCGTTTAGCATAATCAGATGAGCAACTGTCTGAGCTTTCAAGTAATCTAGTGAGATATCCGTCTGAACAGCGATATGGTTTCACTACAGAATATTAGTAAATTTTATTGATATGTCTCGGGATGTGTGAAGTTTATGAAAGGTGCTCTTTACCGACAATTTTTCAAATGGTTACGTTTTAGTTTGATGATCGTAGAAAACTATTTTCTGTTTGGATTTCATAACCACGATTATGGGTTTTCAAGAAGGAATATGTTCCATTTGTCAGTTTTCTAGCATAACACTGGTTTGTTGGCTTGCGTATTCAACTTTAAACTCATTGAGGATTCGGGGCCAAAACCATCTACTTCAATTTAACAGCAGGTGGTAGAATTGACGTTCGCATACAAAAGAACCAAGTGCACAAACACTTACTTGACAATAAATTTACAGTAACTTTAGTTAAACTATAAAATCTAGCATAAAGTAATGATAGAATGTGTAGTACTGCAATAATTCTTTAACGACAATATAGCTATCGAGTTTGATGGGTTTTGAAAATGTTGAAAATAGAGTTCAGTGTTAGCTTGCATTTCTTCAATATTAATTTTCTTCAACATATGTTATTGACTGTCTTTTGGCATTGTTTTGAAAATCTTACACAAAAATTGGTATAATTTTCATTTTGAAAGAATTCTTTCAGCAAAAATGGTGATAGTGATTTCCTCCAAAACTAGTATACCATATAGTTCATTTCACTTGAAATGTTTATTCAATTAACTAAACTACTTAAAACTGTTTGTAAGTAGGTGCGGAGTTTATAATCTAAATATACAAGCTAGCTGATTTCAATAATCGATATGCATCGTTAAAAAATATGCATACCAACAACGTTAGTTGCTAAATGGATGAGGTGATCAGGCTTGCCTATTGTGATGAACCAACTAACCTACATTGACTGGAACATTTGTTAATTTAGGTCCTACCATGTCAGTCACGTCCATTGCATAACAGTAAAACTAGAAGCTGCAACTCAAGGTGTGAGGGCGACGTCGTACTGCTGGCTGTAGATGGGTGATATCAGTTAGATGTTTTCCTCGAACAACCGGCAACTGCATCGATGCCGTTTTCTCATAATGAGAGGATTGGATTATAAAAGGTCGACCCAAAAAATTTTATACCATACAGTGGCGTCTCCGGTGGCAAGGCCCTTTGAAGAGCAGAGCTAACAAGTCAAAAACTTCCCATAAAAAAGTCGTGTATGACAGGCCTCATGCAGTTGTCAGTTAAGCTCTGCAGTCACGCTCCCAGGTCGTTGACACCAACGCTAACCCAAATTTCTTTTCACGTCTCTTAAAACAAAATATCTCTGTACAGTATGGGCCGCCGGGAAGTGACATCTGCACTCATACCCGTAACAGTGTACGATACTAAATTAGTCACAATCAGATACTTCCTACGCCAGTCTCTTGAATCAACACTTCAAACTACATGTTGGAGCTTTTAGTGTCCCGAATCTGTGCCGAGTTGGACAACAGGCTTCCTTAGCTAGGACTTTAGTGCTCGAGTAGGTAGACTAAGAGAAACTGAAAGACGCCTGGGTGGATCTTACAGTATCGAGACTGAGAGACAGAAAATACTGACCGTGTGCTGTGGCAATGCTCAGATAACCATCTTCTTCCAGCAAATACTAACTTTAGGCATAAGGAACAACGCATCCTGACGTGGCGACCCATAAACTGCTCCAATGTTGAACCTAACTAGATTATATCACTATCAACTACCGATGGAAGGACCTGATTGAAGACTGTCGCTAATTCTGCAGAACATGTCTAGATTTAGATAATGCTGCTCTAAGAGCGCGTGTTACTTGATGTATGCAAGAAACATCAAAGAAACCCCTTAGATGTCTTTTTAACGATAACAAAGTCAAGTATACATTTCAGGAGCAACTAGGAAAACGGTTAGATAGCAAAGTAAGTAATGTTCAGTCTAAGGTAGCTAGGAATGATACTTAAAATGCTGTGAAAATAGCTGTGATTTCTGCCAGTAAGTTAAACCGAAAGGTTGAGTAGCAGAAGAGGATTTCAGTAGCATCTATTTGGATGACAGATGCTTGGAAACCCATCCCGTCTGGTGTTTTAAATGCTTGCAAATAAATATTAGGCTAAATACTATAAATATAAAATTTTAGTTCTTCAAATGTTGACCTACTACCCTTTTTGTCTGCTCTGGAGAAAATATGAGGCAAATGCGTTAAAATTTACTTGATAAATGTAAATTAATTGTTTTGGTTGAGCTAATAGAAAAATTTTGTAACTTAATTTAGGCAACAATTCAAACGTATGTTGAACAGTATTACGTTGCAATATTGCCTAATTCATGCTTGGAATTTTATACTCTGACAACACTAATGGTAATGAAAAGGATTATTTTATTATCGCCTCGAAGGAACAAATCCAGAATAGATAGATATCTCTTTCAAAATGATTGATTTTATGAAGTTAAGTTTGTCTTCATTTATTGTACACTTTATCAATCAGAGAGTCACTTATTATATGATATACATAGAGAAGCAATAAACATTGATTGTCAGCTGATTTCATTCGAAAAATCTGGCCTCTGTTTTCTATAGGAATTCATTTTATTTTACTACAAAACAAAGCTATAAATGTGAGTCTGAAACTGTCCTCTGCCAATCAGTTAAGTGAATTTCAGTAATAAAAGAACTTCAATAAAAGTATTTATAATAATTACAAGAAAATTCAACAAAGAAGAAATAAATTACATACAACAATTTACACGGGTAGATTATTCAAACAACTCATTAATATTCTGTAAGTGTTTTTTCAAACAATTCTCCTGAGAGCCGATCAGTGGAAGCCCATGAATCTGTTTTTAAAGCAATAATCGGTGTAGATGATAGCGAATGAGCAATGAAAATAGGTATGGAATGTGAAATATTATCCAATTGTATTGTTTTATTATTTATGATTGGTGATGTCGTATTACTTGGTGTTAATACAAGATTAGAATCTAAATAAAAAGCAGTTAAAGGAAGTGGATTTTCTGATTGTTTCATTACTGATATTGACGACTCAAGAGTGGATGTCTGTTGATTGGTTGGTTTAAATTTCCCATTCATATTTAATAATTGTTTTGTAGGCCATGGAATAATCGGTGCTGGTTGAGGTGATATTAAAATAATATTCTCAATATTTCTATCATAGTTCATTGATGATGATTCATCAGTGCTGTTTGATTCTCTTGAACGCGCTTTCCATTTCTTTTTATCAGATAATGAGATTGTTGGATGAATGTACAAAATTTTCAAAAGTTTACCGCCTATATCTACTGTACCAATACAACTAATCATAACTATGCCAACAATAATAGCAGTTAAAAATAAATTATTCGCTTGTTCTTCACTATTCCAATCAAAATCTACCAGTGAACTGATTGCTGCAGTCCAAATAATTCGTTTGATATTATTCGGTCTAATTATTTTATGCAATGAAGTTGCAATACCTGTGAATGTAAAATAAAAAAACTATAATCAGTATATACATAGATTTAATATTAAAAATAACCAGGCTTTTTTTTATCAAATCCATTTTAATCAAAGTGCGAAAAATTGTCAGTAGGCCCTACACATTAATGTTTATGTAAGACGTATATATATACCAAATATATTCTGGTAATATCGCTGCAGTACATTACTTGGGTCTTCTGTTTAACATTACCAATCATATTATTGATTTGATGAAAGTAGCTAGTACTGTTTGTGAAATTTAAAACAGACTACAGTTCTGGTTAGCGTCCTTTTTAGCGAGTTGCTTTTCTGCGGTATAGGGTCACTAACACTTATGCATAATCCTTCTCATTTATCTGGGCTTCCTACGGGCAGTCACCACAGGAGGGCTTAAGGCAGAGATTCTTCGATAAAACACAACATGCACCAACCAAATCAAATTTGATGGAGAAGCTTGAAAGACACGAAATCTTTACATAACTGATCAGAATCATTGATAAACAAGGTAGATATGATGCGGATTACCAAGGCAATGACAGCATTTCTTCCATTGAAGAACATTTGGAACTCAAAACAATTATCGACAGGAACCAATGTCACAAGTTTCAGCAGAAACGTCTCAACAGTTCAGTTGTATGGAGCTGAAACTTAGAGAACCAAGAAACTCATCATTCACAAGTTACAGGTGTTTATCAACAGTTGTCTACGCAAAATACTACTCATCCCTTGGCCACACACCATAAGCTACAACTTACTGTGGAAGAGAAAAAAACAGATTGAAGCTGAGTAATAAATTGGAAAAGTACGCTGAAGGTGGATAGGAAATTTATTGCTGAAATCATCCGACTGTATCATGAGGTAAGTCCTAATTTGGAACCTTGAGACTCAGAGGAAAAGTGGTAGACTGAGGAACACACTGCATTGAGAATTGGAGGTGGACATGAAAAGAATGAATAACAATTGTGTAGAAGTGGGAAGGAAGGCTGAGGAAAAAATTGGTTTGGGAATGCTGGTCTCTGACCTATGCTCCATTAGGGGTAACAGGAGTAAGTTAGAAACATTAATAGAAATATCGACACAATTTCCTCAAACTTTTTCTTATTATTATAAGATAAGGCATACATTTCCAGTAAGAAACCTTTGAAATGGCTTTCTTCTCAGATGTAGAAAATACACTCTTGTTATTTTGTCTTGATATTTTTGTAACTAAACGGAAATGGTGTATTGGGTTAGTCTCTCCTCTGCATTTAGTGCAATTTATTGTAATTACAACACAGAAAGTATACGTAGGCGGATTTATATGGTTTTCTGATTTCTTTCTTTTCTTTGTAGTAAACATTTATTTACCAGGGTACTTATTAACAGATTAAGTATACAATTTCAATAAATGATTAGTTTTGAGATGGTGTAGAAAATTTGTAATTCAGATGAATGATTATAATGAAGATTCGTTTTCTGAGCTGGAAGGTTTTACTATGATGTATGTTTATTTTCTTCCTATTTACATGCATTAATTATTGATCAGCGTTATAAATTTCTCTGTGACTTATTATTCTAAAACATGGCGTATAAAATATTATCTCACTCCACAAAGTATGTTATTTTTTTTAATGTTTGTAATTTTAGTTGGTTAATTTTTTCAAAATCAATCAAAATTTATTAGATTAGTGATGAATTTTTAAAAAAATAGTTTGACGGAGATAGGAATCAAAAGTTATTTGATTTTATTTAAAATGCAGTAAATTCAACACTTTCTGAGTAGTTTTATAGACTGAGAAAGTTAAACAGTTTTGAAAAAATATGATCTTCATGGACGTTATGGATATATGTGAGGAAAATGTATCGAACGTATATATATAAAAGCTAAAATGGCTCATCTTCATTTATATAGACAGTTAACTATAACCTTTTTTCAATCAGGGTTATGGAGACTAGTGTTTCTTGCACATTGAAATTATCAATCAACCAATCATTGTTAGATCACCATTAGAAACCTGGAAGCACTGAACGGCCGTTTCGTTCTGGCATGGGACTCATCAACAGTATAATTTTAAATTCTGCTTACTGTAATTCATTCGGATCATCTTCCCTGAGTGAACAACATAATAACTAAACATTCATAAAATTATTGATTTACCACTAAAGTTAGCGACATACATTCCTTTTTTCAGTAATGGTGAACGTGTATTGTGTGGTACTACTTCATCAATTTCATCATTATTGAGTAGTATCAGTAACTGCTTGTTTCTTACGTCAGTAAAATCTTAATTGATTTTTACACCTAATTGTTGAAAGATTCTCTTGATTGTGTTTAACACAATATTGTCCACTGGTCTCAGTAATATAAACACATATTCCCACAATATTAATAAAAAACTATATAGTCCAGTGTTAAGAAATGTTTTCAGATTAGAAATTCTATTAAAATTTGAAAAATACAATGAATGAGTGTTCATTGTTAGGGAAGTTTTGCTCAAATTCGCTTCTCAGTTTACTTCGTCATCTCATTGCCGAAATCAAGTCATTACAGACACATTAGTCAAATGTTTTGTCTATACACACCTCTCCCAACTGGTCACTTGCGGTCTTTCTTCGTCCTACTTATGACCCATACCTTTTTCATTGTAATGTCTCACTTAGGATGTAAAACTATCATAATACTAAAAATCCGTACAACCCATGTCAATTTTAGAAAACTAGTCGTATAGACTGAATTAATTTAGAAACAACTTTCCTTCTCTCTAAATGAACTGCTTGCTAATTTGTCATTAGATCAATGCCTGGAAAAAAAATAGTTCTGAACACTAAGTTACAAATTTATATATAGTAACAACTACTTCGGTTTGAGCAAACATGTTACATTACTAGTCATAAAATCCACAGTCTAGCTTAAAGGCAAGCAAAAAACATGTTTCTTTTTTTGAAAAAAAAACGGTACAGTCACTTAAATCAGTTAAGAAATTTAAGGTAACTTAAAAAGTATATGAAGTTTATAATTATAAAGCAATCTATAAGTTTTCATATATGGATTTCTATTAATTTATAATTCGCTTCACAAAACAGTTGTATACTATTCACATAATATAAAACGATGATAAATCATACTGATAACTAGTTAAAGCCTAGTCTTGTAGTATGCATTGAGAATAGTGAAGTATATCTTCAACATGCTTATCAAGTAAGTATTAGGAACAGTCAACATGAAAATTATTTTAAACAGAAGAAGAAGTGAAAATTACAATATTTCCCTTAAACATCACTAACCTTCTTTATTCAATGAAATATTTTCATCATTTATTGGAACTGATATTACTGGTAAAAAATGACAAATCTGTTGACGAAATAATAATTCCGAGTTAAAAATGGGCGAGGTAGGATATTTTGTTCGTTTGTTGTAGGATTTGTCTGATTTTGTTATTGGCAGTGATAATTCCACTTGAGAAAGAAGTGATTGAACAATTGAATTTTCTGTTTCCATTTGTTGATCAAGGTAATTCTGCAATAAAAGTGAAAAGTAAACATCGAAACCTCAAAGATCATGCCTAATACCACCATATCGTTATTTAAAAGGACAGTGTAATTAACATAGAGTAAATGTCGTTAATAAGAAGATTCATACCGGTTTCGAATATCATTAATAGATTGACGAATAGTGTGAAGGTGGTCTCAGTTAATCACCAGTAAAATACGTACAACGAACATGGCTTATCAGAGAGAACACATAACCTTTATTTAATAATTATAAAATCTGTAGCCATTATTTGAAAAAAATCTTGTAAAAGTTTGTAGTACGTTTGTTATTATTAAGCTATTATAAAAAATTAATTCTAGTTTTTGTAAATACTTCCAAAGATTTTATCTGGATAATTATATGATTAGATTTGAGAGTTAAATTATGCTTGAGTAGTTTATTAAGTGTTTAAACGTTGAATTAGTTCATTCTAATCGATTTGCACTATTGAATCTTCTAATCACCGTTCTTCATTTACATATGAGTTATTTTCTAGAATATAGGATTATATGTTTACTGGTTCAGTTGTGTAATCGTGTGTGCTGAACTAACCGGAGAACACTTTTTACTACGGTTGGAATATATATATATATATATATATATATATATATATATATATAGTACAGTAAACATTCCACTAGTACAATGAATAACCACCTTAAAAATAAATGACTGTAAGTATATCAAGAAAGCATAAGAATGCTAAAAACAGATAGAATAAAAGTAAATTTATCATTTTGTAATACTATGTAGACAATTGTAGAAAAAGCCAGAAACAATTTCATAATATATTCAAAAACATGCTAGTTGAAGCCTTTTGTTAAAACGATATTTTCTCAGTTCATTATTTGCATTATTGGTGATGAAAAAAAATTAGATCTATTTTTTTTGTTTTAAATACTAGTATTCCTAATTCATTACCATTTTACTTGTACAAATAACAATAACAATAATGAATAATAATGACAGTAATATACAACTGCTTCTATGAATTCAGTTATTTATATATTTTTTTCTTTTTTCTTTTCAACTAAACAAACTGGAATCTCTCTATTGGATTTCATAAATTTCACTTTCGATGATCAATGTTTACTGGGCGACACATATAAACATTTGTTCGTATTTCTGTTTGCGTAGGTGTGTGTGTGTGTGGGTGTGACTGTATTCGATATTTGACTGAATCAAAAAAAAAAAGATGAAAATCCGAGTTGTCACAATGCTGATTGAATAAAAGTTTATTTTAATGTTTAACATACATACATACGTATGCAACAATGTCCTCTTTTCAAATTTTTTTACGAAAAAAAATTGTATTACGTTATTTAACACATTTGAAAACTTAAAACTAATCTACAATTTGTCATATTTTACTGTTTTTTTTCCATTATTTGATATGGAATTTTTAATGTAACACTAACCTATTCGATCAACATATCGGTTATTTAGTTCAAGTTGTCTACCATAGGTTGAAATTATTCATAACATTAGAATAACACTGGTTACTTGATCTAGTCTATGACCACTAAATTAAGTGACTGAACATCACAATAAACTTAGCTTGGTGTCATTTTATTAGGACTAACAGACAGAAGACTTTGAAAGACTTTGAAGAAAACGCAACCAAGGCTTTGAAATGTTCTTGTCTATGTCATTTAATGTTCAATAGTTTCAAATGAACAAACTAATAGTGAGATTTTTAAACACCTGCTTTTTTGTATTCAACGTAAAAGTTAGTTTTTACATGAATAAAGTGAGCTATTGGCTGATATATATATATATATATATATATATATATATATATATATATATATATATATATATATTTGCTATAAATTATCTCAAACAATCACAAATGAAATGTACACATTACATCTTTACTCAATCTTAATTTTCCTATACTAGAAACGAATATAATAAGTTTTCTTCACTTTCTTATGTTCTCTTAGCATACTGTTGATGATTTATACTTAAAAATTAGTTTTAAGATAACTTGTGCATAAAAAGAATTATAATTTTATTGATTTCATCACTGTTGTGAATAAACTGCCCTTCTTTTTTTGCTAAATTTTGAAAATCAACGACAGAGTAGCATTTTTTTACATACTCTTACAAGGTAATCAAGTTAAATTATAGTTAAAAAATTTAGAGAAAAAGAATGCATAAAATATCCTAAATAGGCAAAATTTTACCGTCTTAAAAGTAGAACGTTAAATTTCTTCGAGTTAAGTAGACCAAAAAAGAGGATTGTTCAACATTATTAATTAATTTATACAGCAATCTACCCAAGCAAGATAAAACCAGACGGATAAATAAAACTTCTAGATGAATGAATAATTTCAGTTTCTGTGAAAAATTTTTACTGTTTTTTCGTGTTTGATTTGTGAAGATTATAGAGTTTCATTGAAATCATGACTCGATCAATGTTAGACCGTCATTAGAAGCCTGCAAGCACTGGATAGTCATTTCATTCTAGTATGGGAATCAACATCAGTGTGCATTCCCTCTGGCGGGATTCGGACCAAAGACCTTCGATCTCGGGCGCAAACACACCCTGTAGACCGCTGACTCTGCATCCACTTGTGTTATTATCTAACTTTAATTGATCCACCGTCTTGCACAACCTCATTCATTGTATTCAGTGGGCAGTGGCCTCACGCCCAGCAGGGTTCAACTGCATTGGGCAGAGATTGTTACCAAATCTCGGAGAAATTTCCTTATGAAACTATTCATCAGTGAACATATGGTCATTTTCATTATAGAGAGTTGTTTAACAATACTTTACATATTCGTTCGCTTTTATTTGTTTGTCTGAGTGAGAATTTAATGGGAATCATTAAAAAACAAACTGGGGTTTTTTGGTTCACATAATTAAGTAAAGTGATATCTTCCTTTTATTAAGAAACTGAAAAAGCTCTAAATTATCTAGTTTTTAGTCGAGTTGTAACAAAACTAACTTGTCAGCAGAATTAATTATCATAGGCAGCCTAATTAATTAATTAATGCGTATTTTCACAATTTATATCACGAACCAACTTTAGGTAAATTGCTATTGAAAGTCTGCAAACATTGGAAAGGTTGTTTCGTCTCAAATGAAGCTCCTCATAAATGTATATTTATAACCCCCATCCGGGAGCTGAGCCCAGAACTTTCTATTACAAAGGCCTAACCTACAGACCAGCACTCAATGATGTTAGTGTTTAACTTTAATCAATCCACAATATTAAACACAAAACTCTTCTTCTAGGTTTTCAATGGTGGTCTAGCATGAATCAGTTTATAATTTAAACTGTAAAAATCGTACAATCGACTCAAATCTCCCACACTAATAACACCAGTTTAATTAAACCCTAGCCTGGCTGACAGTTTGCTAAATAAATTAGAGTTGGAAATATGTTCGAGTGAATTCCAGTGGATTTATCTAAATATATTGTGCTCACTGTAAGGAATGAAATTTCTGGAATGGTTCATATTTAGGTTAGTGACTATAGAGTATTGATTGGTAAAAACATAATCAAAAGCTGTGTACACTACGCCTCCATTTTTATCGGTTCATCAGCCACTGTTAACTTGTACAGAAAAATATTTGCAAATTATTTTTAAACTAATCAGCCTTATTTCACAGATAAAATTTAACGTTGATGAAGAGAAAAACTTTTTAAAATATAACCAACGTGTCTATCGGATAGAAGTTTATTTCACTTTGTTTTAATTTACTCACGAAGTTAACACTTTTAAAAATGATATTTATGCTAATATAATTACTAAGTTAAAACCTCTTGAAATAATTTTTTTAGAATCAAATTTATTAATGCATACTTGCTTAAATTTAATGCTATAGTTCTGTTCTGATAGTCGAGATTTAAGCATACATTTATTTTTACGTTTATACCTGTGATTGTATGCAGATATATGTGACTGAATGTGTTAAGTAATGCTCATTTATGTACATTCACTAATAAAAGTGAACAAAGTCTTCGAATAATAATATTGATGATAAAATACGGAGTCTAGACTTGAAAAAAATCAATAACGTTCCTATGCCTTGTATGATTAAAAGAAAGGATTTTGGCATCTTGAAAAAGAATGATACGGCGTAATATTTTGATGAGTTCTTATTCTCCTTCTACATATATAAATATATAACTGCGTAACGAAAATCAGCGAACTGCCTGAAGATGGCTTATTAGGGAGTTTTTTACAAAAACAGAATAATTGAAAATTATACTGATTGACTGATTTGAATGAGAAGCTGAAGATAACTTCAAAATGAATTTATGCAGTTTCAGTTTTCATTTCAACTTAATTCTTTGAATGGTATCATAAAACATTATCACACCTCTTATTCACTGGTTAGTACCGTTTACACAGTATTCCATTTTTAAAATGGCAAATAATCTCATTTTATTTAGTGAAAATTTCAATACATACGGTAGTTGTAGTGTTTGTAACTAGATTAATTCTAAATATTTTATTACATGATAGACGGGAACAATGTCAGTAGGTAGCATTAGTTGTTTGGAAGTTCTTTAGTTGTTTAAAAATATCAGTTATATCACCCTTGATATCTATCTTGTTTTTTCACTTTACAATAGTGTTGATGAATTTATTAGTGTCGACCTGTGGCGTTGGACTTTCTTTATCTTCTGAATTCCGTTTACTTCTATCTTGATGACCATTACTATAGAAAGCGAGTCCTTACCACAATTTTTTTATTATTCAAAACATATGATGATCGATACAAATATTGGATTTACTTCAAATATGTATAGTCGATATTGCCATTGAATTATTTAAACTGTTAATCGATAAAGCTAGTCAAATGACTATATGCGTAGGTGATAAGTAATGCCCAAGCGTACATGCCCATACAAGCTGAACAATGATAAAAGTACAAAATATATATGAGGTGCCATAATAGCTAACTTCCAGCAAACAAAGATACAAAAGTGTATGTGTTGACGAAAAAAAGTTATTCGAAAATATCA